ATCGCGGCCGGCTCCGTGCTGGGGGCGGCCCAGGCGGCCGGGCTTGCGGCGCCACGACGCTAGACGAGACCTCCCGCCGCGTCTGCCCCGCCTGGTGCTCGCCCCCGGCGCCTCTCCGCCGCCCTTCTCCCCGTGCCTTGTCTTCTACCGGCACCTCCCACCCCGCTTTTCTTCTTTTTCATCTTTCCCTTTTTCACCGTTTAAGGTAAAGGGCTGCTGTTAATGAAACCGAGGTACGCGGGAGATTAACGCCGTGTGTGTGTGTGTGTGTGTGTGTGTGTGTGTGTGTGTACAAAATGCAAAATCTAGAAGTCTTGATTCAGAGATGATACCTTTTATTAGACCGACTAAGAAATTGCAAAAAAAAATAAAAAAATCTGCAAGCATTTGGGCTCTCACACATGTATACAAACACACGGGCCTGTGTGCATATGTATGTATATAAAATGTGTGTGTGTGTGTGTGTATTTATTTATATGTCAGTATACGTGTGTATAAATACACACATATATACACACACTGATGCATATAAATATACACATATAGGCACATAAATACACATATATGCATCTATACATGTATATATGTGTGTGTGTGTGTTTATGTCTGTGTACGTGTGTTTATGTGTATTTGTGTGTGTATATGTGTATACGTATTTGTGTGGGGGGAGGTGTATAATAAAGTTATACAGTGTAGCTGTACTACTTAAATTTCACATCACAGTAATTGATTTGTAGTGTACATATAACTACACACACACACACACACACACACACGTGTAAACTTAATTTTTTTTTAATGTAAATGAAACTCATGGAAGTAATTTTATTTTTTTTTAACAAAGTTGCTCTACACCCACATATATATATACACACACACACCCCCCATACATGCATACACACCCCAACACCCAGACAAACTAACCCAACCATTTGTAAGATCTAATAGAGTATTAATGCTTGCATAATATTTTAAGAACTTAATTAATGGTAAAGGCCAGGCAAAAAAGATTCCAAGATTCTTCAGTTTTAAGCATCAGATGTCCCACAGATGTGTTATAAATATTTGGGTAATGGGAGACTGTTAATTTTGGGTGTCCAAAGACCTGATATTCAAAAATTATTGTTGCAGTTTATTTAACATTTCATCTGTTCAGAGCACTACTGTCCCTGACTTTCAGTGCTGCTGCAATTCAGACATGAAGTGTTTCAAGTTGGCTGTACAGAAAACGAGGAAAATACATTGGTTGAGGGTGAAAAGCTTGATTTAAATTACTAGACTTACACTGAATCACTGCTTGCAGTGTTTGAGCTAGCTGGTGTATCGCTACAGGGTGGTGCACTGTGGTAGGTTAGATACATTCTAGATATAAGGGAAGGGATGCCAAGAAAACTTCCCATTGTGTGTGTAATTATGAGCATCAATACAAGACAACATAAAGCACAGAACCCCCCAGCTGCGTTAATTCTTCACTTTGCAGTGAGCAAGCTTGTAAAGATATTGAAAAAAAAATCATTCAGTTCCCATGCAAGTGAGAAGTGTTGATTACAAAAGAGAAATACAACCATCCTGTTTCTCAAACCCCTCATTTTCATAGTTTCTATTATTTTTACTTCCTTGTTCCCTCTGTGTTCTCTCACCTGACTGAAAAGCAAGAGATTTAACATCAACATACTGGTCAATATCCCCATTTCTCAGACTGCCAGAGGACAGAGCTGTGCTCTGGAAGATTCCCTTGCTTACATATAGTCAAAAAGCCTGAGGCTGAATCGATTCAGTCTTTGCAGGTTAGTCTAAGCTGCACAGGTTAAAGTGACACAGAAGTGAACACAGGCAGACAAGGTTCCTTGGGTGAATTTGATATCTTTTATTAGACCAACCCAAATAGGTGGAGAATATTTATTAAGCTAGCTTTTGGGTTCAAAAACCCTTCGTCAGGCTAAGGAAGTTTCAGCAGTTGGTGTGTGCTCTTCCTGGATGGAATGAAAAGCAAACAATTCAGGGGCTGGGCTGGGGAGTCAGTTGCCAGGCGGATTATAATGTATCAAAAATCCAATGCCTATGTTTAGCCCATGATCTCTAGTATCCAGGAGATCTGGGAAGTGTTGTGTAAATTTTCCTGGAGGATCAGGACTGAGAGATTGGAAAGAGAGTGGCCCTCCTGTGAGAAATGTGCCCCCACAGGTAATTGGGTATTTCTGTCTTTGATGGATTTCCGGTGTGCATTCATTCTGGTGCGCAGTTGTTGTCTGGTCTCTCCTACATATTTTCCATCAGGGCATTTGGTGCATTGGATGAGGTATATTACATTTCTGGAGGTGCAGCTGTAAGATCCTGGGATGCAGATGGCTCTGTTATGGGGTGTAGTAATAGTGGGGGTGGTGGAGATGTGTTGGCAGGTTTTGCATTTCTTGTCCTGGCA